TATATCCTGGGCCACAGGCATTGGTCAGAAGTGGGTTGGTGATGAAAGGCGAGCCTAGCACTGTGGCTGTCTAAGATATTTCAGTATGGGGCTAATAAGAAATGGCGCTGCTTTTGGCATCACAGAACTGAAGGATGTAAAGATTAAGGTGTTGGCAGCATCTTTTATACTGTACAGAAAAGACTTGTCTTTAGGTAGAGAGGATGAAGTCAGGAAAAACAATCTGGGAGGAAAGATAAGTGAGAAAAAATGTCATGGCAGCATGGATTTCTTGTTCAAGTCTCTGAGGTTTGGCTCCTGTGGATTACACCTTACCTTTTTCAGCACAAAGAGTCAATAATGTCCACTACGCTTAAGCTTGTAGGATTTCTGACCTTACCATCAGAAGAGTCCTCCCTAATTCAGCAGACTTTTTACACCAAGTATTTGGGGTTTTGTTTTACTTGCAGTCTTTACTTCTTGGAGGATGGAAGAGCAGGGAGAAAGGAACAGGAAGTTGTCAGGAGGGGTAAATGGCTTAATATATTTCCCATGGATGCAGAGTCAGAAGGACATGAACAATTCTTGCTTCTAGCATCAGGATCCCATTGGGAAGTCCCAGTGTTTGGATTTCCTTTTCTGGATATGTGATTAGGATAACATTCACCCACTTGAATTCAGGCAAAGCCATGGGACTTGCTGTGGGTATTAAACATGATTAGCTGCTTGGCAGCAGCTGCACAGAACAGTGTGTGGCTTGCTAAATTCTCTTTCCCTGCTCTCTGCAAGGAAAGTTTTTTGTCATGGAAGCTTAGGTCTCCAGAGGCATTTTAGGCTTTTCAAAAAAAGAAGAAAAAGAAGAAACAAAGAAAGGAATGAACAGCTTAGCTCATTGTAAGAAATGCTAACTATCTAAATAATGAAAATGTCCTATTAGAAAGTAACTTGCTATGAGCTGGGGTTGTAGCTCAGTGGTAGAGTGCTCTTTTCACACGTGGGAGGCACTACATAAACATAAAATAAAGATATTGTGTCCATCTACAACTCAAAAAAAATTTTAAAAAGTAACTTGCTACTAATTTTTTCTTGATAAATCTTTCCTATTTCATGTAGATGTATTATTAAAAAATTAGAAAACTGGATACAGTTTCATATCGTATTTTAAAAATTTAATTTAATGTTGTGAACAAAGTAGTAATTTTTACCTATGGTATTCTCCAATCTTAGAAGATTTAATGCCTAAATCCTAGAAGATTTAATGCCTAAATTCTATAGGACTTGAAATGTTTTGCAAAGTTACCGTATACTGTTGAAGACTTAGGTATTTCTATCATAGAAAATTAGGTACTTCTACTGGATTCTTAATTTTAAAAGAAGAAACATTTCCTTGTATGTTTATTTAGCCCCCAGTATTTAGCACTAGACTTATAGGTATTGTGGAGAAAAGAGATACCCTCTACACCCCTTAGTTCTTAGAGCTCTTTGATTGAAATCTAGGAACACAATTAATATAAGAGGTGATTAATAAAAGAATATGGCATAGTGGTAGAGCGCTTGCTTAGCATGTATGAGGCCCTGGGTTTGGATCCTCAGCACCACATATGAATAAACAAATAAATTTAAAAAAATCCATTGGCAACTAAAAAATACTAAAAAAAGAAAGCATAAAAGTTTTATTAATTTTGCATGCACGTGGGGATCTTCACAAGATAGTGAAGTCTGAAGAAATGACTAAAGCATGGTACTTTTAATGCTTTTTAGACAAAAAGTAGTAAGTTTGGAAAGAATGAAAGGACAGATGGATCTGGGTAAGGGTAGCTACATGGTGGGCAGGGATATAGAAGCAAAATGAGGGCGACTTTTGCTTATTCAGGTTCACTGCAGCCCCAGTTATGAGTCTATGGTGATCGGGGTGAATTCTCAGCCTTGGTATGTGAAGGACATCCGTCCCACAAGAATCTTCATGGCTTGCTGCCTGTAGTAATATACAGGTCAAATGGCCCATTCTGAAGTTATAGTTCCTCAGGTAATTTTGCTCGACACAATCAATATATCAATCTGACACATTTTGAAATGACATGTCCTTTGCTTCTCAGGCTAAACATGTTTAATGAGTAGATGAAGAATGAAACTCCAGCCAAGTGAGCAATATCTCTGTTTTTATTTTTTAATTTTATTTTTATTTATTTTAAAATACTTTTATTTAGGTATAATTGACACATAACAACCTGCACATATTTAAAGTGTATAGTTTGATAAGTTCTGACATATGTATACACCCAGGAAGCCAGCAAGGCAAGATGATGAATCCATCACCCTAAAGTTTCCTTATGTCCCTCTGTAAGACATCCCTCCCATCAGTCCCCACCTTGAATGATCTTCCTTAATGCCATGTTTCTGGAATGGAAAGAGTGACAAAAAGGGTGAACACTGAGGTGTATGTCCAACGGTCATGATTTCCAAGGCAACTTTAAATATGTGGTATGTCCACAAATAAAACAAAATGAAAAAGATTTTTTTCCAAGTGTATAACTTCCTAATGATCACTGCAAAGTGCACACATGCACACATAAATCAAGAGTAAAAATATTGCCGGGCACAGTGGCACACACCTGTAATCCCAGAGGCTCGGGAGGCTGAGACCAGAGGATCACGAGTTCAAAGCCAACCTTAGCAAAAGAGAGGCACTAAGCAACTCAGTGAGATCCTGTCTTTAAATAAAAATACAAAATAGGGCTGGGGATGTGGCTCAGTGGTTGAGTGGCCCTGAGTTCAATCCCCAGTACCCATCCACCTCAGTGTTGCCAAATATTTACCCACCTCCCCCCAAAAAAGTAAAATATTCAGTGTTGCAGAATATTTTCAGCAACAGGGAAAAGGTTTTCCTCATATATCATCAAAGAGATGAGACACTGAACTTGGCCTACACAGATAGGGATCTAGGTTTGAGAAGGCTTTGTTTTGTCCCCAAGAGTGGTTCCTGTCCCTAGGGGCAATATATCATTTGTGTCATGCTTGGCTTCTACTACAATTTGTAATCCCCACCCCATGGATCCAAAGAAGAAGATTAGAACTCTATTTCATGCCAGTGCTGGATTATTTTTCCTTCAATATCCTTTTACTAATACTTCCTCCTGTTGAAAACCCTTCAAGGGTCCTCTGTTGCCATGAAAACCCTCCACAGCTTGGGGCCAGCCTACCTGTCTTGTCTTAGATACTGTAATTGCCACAACTGCAATCTCAGCTCCACCCAAAGAAATCTGCTATGGTTTGGGTCTGTCCCCCAGAGTTGCACAAGCTGGAAGTTTGGTCCCAGTTTGGTGATGTTAAGGTGGTAGAAGCTTTAAGAGGTAGGATTTTTAAGATCCTACTGCAAGGTAATGGAGTAATGAGGGCATCATCCCTCGAAGGCATTAATGTTGTTCTTGTGGAGTGGTCAGTTCTTGCAAGAGCAAGTTGTTATGAAAAGATCAAGCCAGGCTCCTAAATTCCTCTGACTTCCTGTGTCACCGTGTCTTCACTCTACCTCTTTTGCACACTCTTGCCACACTCCATTCAGCATGTTGTGATGTGGCCCGGCAGGCCCCACCAGAGGCTGAAATAATGCAGCCACTTAATCTGGGACTTTCAGCTTCCCAAGTTACAAGCTAAACAAACTTGTTTTCCTTATACATTACCTGGCCTCAGGTGTTTTACACAGGAACAGAAAATGGCTAACACATCTACTCACTTTTTCCTGAGTAGGTCTTATATACCGTCCCTTATTCATGTCTTTGATGAATCCAGCAAGCTATTCTCTATCATCTATATCTTTATCATCTGAAATGCTCTCCTATCACATTCCCCTTCAAAATCTTATCTGGTTTTCAAAATTTAGCACAGCTTCTTCTTGCTCCATAAAGGCTTTGTGGATAACTATAGATAAAAATGGTCTCTCCTGATATTTCTACATATTGAAAATTTATCATCTCTACCTCTTTTAGATTATTTTTCCTGATACCATTTTAAGCTCCCAATTCTGTGTTCGCAACTGTATTATAAGTTCTTGGAGGGGGGATATGACATTTGATCCATATGTGTGTGATCACATGTATATACATGGTCACACACATACACGTATACATACACATATATACATACATGTGATATGTATGATGTATATATGGACAACACATATAGGATAAATATAATTCAATCTATATATACATGGATCCCATGTATGGATCATATATATGTGTGTGTAAACAATTAATTATACAGCAAATGAATCAATGGGCTATTTCTTTAACTTCCTCTACAAAACAATGATACTTTACTCCAGCAAGTTGTTCTTCAAGTCTTTGGACATAAATTATAAATACACTACTACGGATTCAGCAGCACTCAGAGGAAAGCAGAGCTGAGACTGAGATTACCTGGATTTGTTTTGTGTTTTAAGATTCTCTGCTCTAGCAGAGATTTGTTTTATAGACATATCTTAGGTATATAATTGCCACATTTTAATAACTAAAACCAACTATAAGTATTATAAATTCTTCCTCTATTTTAAATGCCACAGAAGACAAGTATTAGAGAAAGAGCAAAAATTTCTGCTTTAAATTTCAAAGATACATTCAAACCCTAATTCTAAATACAAGTTGGTCAAGACAGTAAAAAGCTTTATATTATTAAAAAGTCTTAAATGTAATATATGTAGCTTTTATGCTTTTTAATTCATGGGTACTTCTACTTCAAACTTAACATCTCTATATTATTTTTGAAAACTATCACTAAAGTCTTAGAAAAGCACTAAAAATAAATAAATATATTTGTAGGATTTTCCTTACCCTCCACGCCCCCCCACCCCCCAAAAAATATTTTCAAATGTTTTTGTACTTGGTGCACAAACAAACTTCAGCTTACTTTATATCACATTGTTATGCATTTAAAATTATGGGATTTGGGATTAATTAGGTTTATTTAACATGCATATTATCAAAAACACAGTATTTGAATTGCAGTAAGAGCTGAAAGCTACTAACCTGAGTCATCTTGTGGTTACAAGAAAATTACTTCTTGACTTTGTAAATCATGGCAGTTTCCTCCATTGGAGAGTGACAGTTGTTTCTCATGACTCAATGTGTAATGTAAATGAAAAGTAGTAGGAGTGAAATCAAATAGCACGGTCCTTCACATGATCAGCCACTTGGTAGGAGTCTCTGAAGGGAATACAGGCCCTACAAGGAAAAAACAAATACCGAGGTCATTTTACATAATAGAAAACTGAAGCAGCTATAGCCCAGCCTGGCCTCTTGACCTCTGCATAAATCATCCAGCAATGAAGCGACTAAAGAGAAAAGTTAATGTGCCAGAATTACAAGAGCAGTTTACAAACCAATTCTTCGGCTTTCTGTAAAATATACAGTGCTTTCTCCCCAAATTTAATTGAATGATTTCATCTTGTTCCTGGAAAAATTACAAGGATGGACAGTAAACTCTGAATATAGTAACTAAGTTAAATATATATCAACCATTTAAAACAATGTTACTACAGTATATTATATTATTCTGATACAACAGGACTGCTCCCTATTTGTTCCTAGTATCAGCCACTTCCATTACTTTGACAAGGAATCCTGGTTATTCTTCATTTGTTCATACTTAATTTTTTTCTTTTTTATAAGCCTGTCATGAGCCCCATCAAAAGGTTCCTAGCTACTTGAAAAAAATTGTACTTTGCATACCAAAAAACACTTTGTAACATAAAAACGTTTGGATATAGTATGAGATCCCAAGAGCAGCCTAGTATGGTAGGAAAACCCGCTAATCCTACTCCAGGTCCTAACTGCTTATCTGTAACTGAGATGACTGGACCTAAGGCTGGATCACAACCACTTCTCCTGGTCTCCATATCTCTAGTGTGTACACCACTGCCACCACCAGCTGTACCTCTTACTACACAGGGATTCTCAAGATGGCAGCGTGGGATGCATGTGGCTTCCCCCAACTTCCGGCTGCTGCCCACCTCACCCCAATCTGGATCCCTGTTTAAGAATCATCAATCTGTGTGTGCCTTTGCAAGCTTCCCTCTGGTCTTGGGAATCTGCATATATAATTCACCCTGAGGCAACTCTTTCCTAACCATATGGGTGTAGATGAACTGTGCTATTGAGAGTCATAGAAGCTGGCTCTTTAGGAAGTACATTTAAGAAGGATTTTGAAAGAGCTACCAATCAAAGCACCTCATCTTTCCTCATATAGTTTTAGAATCTATAAAGGAGCGTGCATTTGTTAATTCACCCTCATGCAGGGCTGCAAGCTAACGGCTCTCTACTTGGATGCCCTTCTAGACCCTGGCCTGGGCATCCTCTGTCCCAGCTGACCTGGCTCTCTATATATCTCTCTATATACCTTTCCTATGCCCAAAGATATTAGCCTTCTCAGGTAGCTACTCAAGACAGTGTTCAATACCATAGTTAGAAAGAGTAACCTATGGGGCTGGGGATGTGGCTCAAGCGGTAGCGCGCTGCCTGGCATGCGTGCGGCCCAGGTTCGATCCTCAGCACCACATACAAACAAAGATGTTGTGTCCACCAAAAACTAAAAAATAAATATTAAAAAATTCTCTTAAAAAAAAAAAGAAAGAGTAACCTATGAAAAGAATTTTAGATAGTGTATAAGGCTTATATGAGCTAATGGAGTGGGAGCGGGGACTGGAGGTTTTTCTATATGTCTAATTTACACCCCCCACATACACATACCTACACATATTGATTTTCCTTAATTTTTCAAAATCACAGGAAAATTTTGCCTCTAAAATGTATGAATCCTACTATCTTTAGCAAGAACTTGCTGGGTAAAGGATAAACTAGTATAGTACTATCTAAAAAAAAAAAGTTGAATGTTGGTAAGTCCTTTTACTATAGCAGCCATATAGCTCTGCATATTTAGAATGGAAAGAAATGTGTTTCCCTCTCTTCTTTCTTCTTGAATAAATGGGAAGCCATATTCTCAAGCAAAGCTCCATAACTTAAACCTTCTGAAATTTTGGGGTAAGTCATGTTTGTGAATCATCCTAGGAAGAGGGTCAACACCTCACACTATGACTCAGCAAAGTCAGTTGTTTTTTTTTTTTAATATTAAAAAAAGGAGCCAGAGTTGGTGGCACACTCCTGTAATCCCAGCAGCTCGGGAAGCTGAAGCAGGAGGACTGAGAGTTCAAAGCCATTCTCTGCAATGGCAAGGCATTAAGCAACTCAGTGAGACCCTATCTCTAAATAAAATACAAGATAGGACTGGGGATGTGGCTCAGTGGTCAAGTACCCCTGAGTTCAATCCCCAGTACCCAAATAAAAAAGGAATTCTGTGTCAATTTAAAAATACACATTCATCTATTCAGCAAATACTAATTAAGTATTTGCCAGGAAAATATTCTGATACTTACACATTATTAAAGAGAAAGATATCCACATCCCTTCCCCATCAATCAGAAACCCAGGATTTAATATGGGAAATATACAAAGAAATAGAAAATTTAAATATAGTAGATATAGAAATATATAGAATTTAGTTTGGGGATGGATAGCTCCTGACAATTGCTAACTTCATGCCTTGCTTTATTTTATCCAAATAATCATAAATATTTAGATATAATTTTATTAACCCCATTACAAATTGCTAAACATTATGAACTTTTAGGTCACTCACAAATATTCAAAATCACACATGCCAATGGCCCACATCTGGAGTGTTCAAGTTATGATCCGAGCGTGCACAGGTAACATAGGGGCACATGGGCGAGACAACTAATGCAGCCTATAGTGGGGGAGGGGGGCAGTGAAGTCTCCCCCAAAGGGATCACAGCCAAACTGAAGCTCAAAAGATAGGTAGGGGGTCAGCTGAAGGTGGTGATTCTATGCCCCCCAAAGGAAGAAATGAGACCAATCACAATTTTTTGGATAAATTTAAGGCAAACTTATAACAACAACAACAACAATAGTAACACAATATATTAATTACTTACTATGGGTCAGGCCCTCTTGTAAGTGTTTAGCATATTCCATTAGCTCACTGAAATCTTCCCAATAACTGTATGAAACAGGAATTACTATTTCTCCCACCTTCCAGACAAAAAAATCTGAGGTAAAGAGAGCACAAGTGACTTTCTCAAAGTAACACAGCTAATAAATGGCAGAGCCAGGATTTGAACCCAGAAAGTTTGACTCCATAGTTCACATTCCTAACTCCAGCTGATGGGGAAGAGAGGAGGAAGGGAAGGGAAGGAGAAATCAAAGTAGGAAGGAGTCAGATCTCACAGGACCTAATTCGGCCTTCAAAGGAGTCTGGATTTTATCCTGAACATAAAATGGGGAACCCTTGGGTTATTTAAGTAGAAGCAATGACAAAATTGGTCCTGGGTTTTAGAAATCTCTTATGGTGATGGTGAAGATTAGCATTGCCTAGATGGATCACAGCAAAGACAGAGAAAGAACCTGGTTAAACTCTTCAGACAAAGAATGATATTAAAGATACTTAAAAGGGGTAAAAAAGGAGAACGAACTAAATTGATAGGTGACTGATGAAGAATTAAGGCAAAGGACACTCTGAAGGTGAAATTGTGGTAAGCATGGGGCTGACATAGTTGGATGTGCCACTTCTGTGCTAAAGTGAGGTGGAAGAAAAAATATGCAAGGTAAACAATAGGAAACTCTGGTAGGAATCTTAAAAAATCTCTGAGAAACCCTTCCTTTGGAATGCACGTGAATATATCCAAAGACATTTATTTAAGATTTATGCATTTGCAGGACACAGAATATAGGAAAATCTAGATGTTGTTAATGGGTTTTGAAATGCCAACATGATCGTCAATGTGTTATATTTTATATTATGATATGCATTGTTTGTATAGTTCTTTATATTGTATATTTGATTTCAGCATTTTCCAGGCAATGTCCAGAGGCAACGTCTCTTACATTCTCTGCATCTTTGTCTGGTACTGCGGTTTACAGTGTTCAATAAATGTCTACTACATAAGCAGGTGAAGAAAGAAAAACAAAGAGGTTAAAACAATGACCCTGGGTGTATGATGCTGATTTACCACCAGAAAGAATGTAAGAGGAGGTGGGGTTTTCAGGCTTGGGCAGTGTTTCTGTAATAACAGAAGACGTATAAGTAAGATGGACATGAAGCTCAGGGAGCAGGCTGGATTAGAGATCATGTAAAAAATCATCATTATCCTAGGACTTGGCAGTTACAGCCCAGGGCATAAATTAAATCAAAAGATAATGTGCAGAGTAAGAAAAGGAATGAGGTCAGAACACCAAAGGTCACGAACATTTAACCCCCGTAAATGCCAGTACTAGAGGAGCAGCTAGCCACCTGCATTAGAATGCTACCATTATGGTTCGGCTAGGTGGTGTCTCTTAAAAGCTCCTGTGTTAATACAGGAAGTGAAATGATTTGATTATGAGAGCCATAATCTAATCAGCCCATCCAAATTTGAATGGACTAACTGGGTGGTAACTCCAGGCAGGTGGAGTGTGGCTGGAGGAAGTTAGGTCACTGAGGGCTGCTCCAAAAGGGTGCATGTTCTCTATGGCCCCTTCCCTTCCTCTTTCTCTGCTTTCTGGCTGCCCTGAGCTGAGCAACTTTCCTCTGCCATGCCAAGGTAGGGCCATGATGCTCTGCCCTATCTTGGAGCCCAGAGGGATGGAACCAGCCGCCCATGGACTAAACCTCTGAAACCATGAGCACAGAATAAAATTTTCCTCCTCTAAGTTGTTCTTATCAGGTGTTTTGGTCAGCAATAAAGAGGTAACACAGCTACTGCAACTGAATTGAATTAAAGAATTATTGACTAAGCACCTAACTAGGCAACAGTTGCATTGGGAGCTCTAAGAGCCAAAGATGTGGGGAGGAAGGTCCCACTGTCTAGAAACTACAGGCTCACACAAGACTAGCATAGCATGACAGCTGAATCACAAGGGTAGGAAGCAAGTATGTGACTGACTGATAGAAAATTACAGATAGCAAGCAATAGTCGATTCCACAGTTTGGGGGTGACATTGTGACTCTGACTTCCTCTAAATAATGAGGCAAGTGAAATAGCCTCATTAATATTCCCAGCTCTACATTGAACTCCTTAATGATGCGTCAGAGAGATCACAGTGAACATGGAAGGCAGAGGAACAACTAACTGGCATTTCTAATTGAAATTCTATGAGCAGAACAAACTCAGGGCTTCAAAA